GAAATTTGCAGGCAAATTGATGGAACTAGAAGATACCATCCTGAGTGAGGTAACCCAACCACAAAATGACAAACATGGTGTGTAATCAATCATATATGGATTTTAGACATGAAGCAGGGGATTGCAAGCCTATAATCCTGAGGTCTGGGAAACAGGGAGGTCTGTAAGGGAAACATGCATGGTACACTCGAGAAGGGGAATAGGACATGATCTCCTAATTGTATTATGACCATAGGGTGAAGGGGAGAGGGTGCTTTGACACAGAGATGGGGAGAAGAGCAGTGGAGATGAGGACATGGGAGAGTAGGAAGTTTGAGTCAGGGGAAGAATAGAGGTGAGCAGGATGAGAGATACCATAATAGAGGGAGCCTTTGTATGTTTGAGGAGAGATCTGGTACTAGGAAGATTTCCAGAGATGTGCAAAGATGATACCAATTGGCAATGGAAGCAATAGTGGAGAGGCTACCTTAAATGCCCTTCCCCAATAATGAGATTGATGACTACCTAGTATTCATCCTAGAGCCTTCATCCAGTAGCTGATGGAAGCAGAGGCAGACACCCATAGCTAAACTGTGAACTGAACTCCTGAAACCCAGTTCCAGAGAGGGGGCAGTGATGAGCAAAGGGCTCAAAGACAGGCTAGTGAAACCCACATAAACAGTTGTCCTTAACAAAGTGGAACTCAATGATCCCAGACTGATGGCTGAGAGGCCAGCATGGGACTGATCCAGACCCCCTGATAGTGGTTATCAGTCAGGAGGCCTCAGCAATCTATGGTACCTCATGTAGCAGATCAGTATTTATCCCTGGCACAGGAATGGACTTTGGGAATACATTCCACAATAAGGGATACTTTCTCAGCCTGGACACCTGGGGGAGGATCTAGGCCCTGTCCTGGATGATATGACAGACTTTGGGGATCCCTCATACATGACATCACCCTCCCTGGGTAAGGGAAGGGGGTGAAGTGGGCAATTGGGTGGGTTATTGTTGGGGAAGAGGGAAGGGAGAGGGAGCTAAGGTTGGCATGACTTGTTTCTAATTTAAATAAAATAAATTTTAAAAAAGCAACACATAGGGACAAATTGTGTCTAGGGTTTACAATTGTCTTGAGTGGAATAAAGTTTTTTGGACAGAGGGTACTGGGACTGCTTGCATTGTGTTACAAGCTGGCATGGTACAGAGAGATAGGATTGGGTAGAAAAGCTGGGATCAATATGCAAGAATCTTATGCTTTGGTAGATAGGTAACTAGGACCTTGGGTGAATCCTAGAGTTCCCTTGGCATGGAGGCAGGGAAATCCAGGCTATGGTTGTGCACCGGTTGTGAATCTAGGCTATGTCTTGTGGGTTGAATAAAAGGATTGGAAGAGGCAGATTTGGTTGGAAGCCTAGAAGTTACCTGTGGCACAGGTTGTAATTGTGAGATTAGGATGAATCACAGTGAGTGGTACCTTGAGATTGACTAAAGGATTGCTAACACATAGGTATGGTTGGTTATGGTAGGTCAGGCAACTGGATGTGGAAACTGGTCTTGACTTGACTGGTTGCATAGAAGTAATGATCAGGTTGGCATGAGTGTTCAGCAAGCTAGACTCTGGAGAAGTAACTGGAAAGTCTGGTTATGGAGTGTGGTAGTTGAAGCTTGCCTGTTAGCTAATCATTCTTGGCAAGACTCAAGGCTTTTATCTCTAGGGATTATTAAAAAGAATTATGTCCAACACTGATGATCTCATTTTAATTTGTTCCAATTACTTTAACAAATTTATCTATTTTAATAGCAATGATGCAAAGAAAAGTCATTGACTGTATTGTGAATATAAATGGAAGTAATGTTTTCCTGATCAAATGACCAGCAAGCTTCTGGTATTTAACTTTCATGTATTTTATGAAAGACTAAGGTAATAGAAATTTTTGTTGAAATGTGTTTTCTGCAGGTTTTTGGTGCTCTTTCATCCTCTAATATATGTTCATAAGTTGTCATGTGATATGTGAAGTCACATAGGTACATTACATAATTGCAGCTCTACCACTAAAAGATTTTTATGGAACAAAGTCAGAACCATGTTGTGAGTACATGACCACAAAAAATTAATATAAGCTAAAATTACTGTGATACATTGAAATGCATTTGATATTTTAAGCCACATGGTATCAAAGAAAGTATCTAAATTGGAAAATTAAGTTTCTAAGTGAAGAAATAAATAAAAACTGCAAATATATTTGTTATCAGTATCACAGAATACTCTTTTTTTGTGTGTGAAGTTTACATGGATATGTTTCATTTTGACAGATAGCAAGTGAAATATTTCACTTTTTACAGATGTTATGATTAATTAGTTTCATTTTATGTGACATTGTGTTTTGTGTGCTTTGTTTTAAAGGATTCATATTAAGTTTAGACAGTTTAAACAGAGAAATTTAAAATTCTATATCCTCACAAGTACCTATGATGTACAAGATCACATGTCTATTACATTTCAGTTGTTTTGTGTTGCATTGAATGTGTATATATTAAAATTGCTCAATGTATATGTTAGTATATGGAAACAGAGAAAACTGTATAGGATTGCTTCTCCTGATACCACAGATGTTTGTTAGTTTGGTATTATGTACTACTTTATATGGTATTAAAAAGAGGATAATTTCTCTGGATAGTTTACTTTCTATTCTCATATCTTCTATGAGTATATAAATTTTTTATATCTGCTAAAAGTCTAAAACTCACAAATGAGAGAAAATATAATATTGTTCCTTCTGATCTGAGCTAAACTGACTACACATTCATTTCCCCTTGTATCCGTGTTTTGTCAAGTGATATACATTTACCCTCCTTATGGGTGGTGAAATTTCAGTGTTAGGCAAATTTTTTTAAAATATAAGACTATTTTTTTTTAAAAAGTCATGTTCTTAAGAATGGATTATACTATTATTTTTCAAGAAGTGTGTTAACAATAGTTCTAAATGATAGAAGTCATACTATTCTCTAGTGTTTATTGAATCAGCCCTTTGATAATACATCATATATAAGTCTAGTATTATGTAGCTTATGTCCTCCCTTTTTCACTATTACAGAAATCACAAGAGACTCTAGGAGGTTTTGCCTCTTGAAAACTAATGATGATCAATACTGAAAGCGACTGAACTGTGTAGAAGTAAAATGTAGAAGATGGAATTGAATATAAATGATGTGATACACCTATGTTCCGTGATAGGCATGTCTTTGACAGTTTGGAACTTCAAGAATGACAATGATATATTTTCTGACTCATATGGAATTATAAATGTGAATGAGACGCATAAGATGCATCCCAACTGCTTCTACAGCTGCTCTGACTCCTCCGCACATGTCCTTCTCTGTTACCAAGTTCATGCAAATGTTATTTTGCTTGCTGTTAGTCCAAATATACATTTTCACAGGTAAATATGGATAATATGTAACTAAGTATAAATGACTCAGTGTATATGTAAAATAAATAGTTCCTAAGATACATCATTTTAATCCAAGTCCAGAAAGTAGTTCATGAGCCATACGTTTTCTGCATTTTTTCTACCTAGACTATATCTACATTCTAGTTAAGTGGACAGAAATTCTCATGACATATTTTCAGCTGATGATCTAGTCAACACAAAGATGGCTGATGGGCTGGGCAGTGTGTAGGCATTTCATAAGAACATAAACAGACCTCTCTAGGACATGGATATTTTGAAAGTCCCTGTGGTGAATCTGAGGAGGACTGACACTTAGTAATACATTAAAATTCAGGGTGATAAAAAAAGGAATGAACCTTCAGTTTTCACCAGGTGTGTGGCTTCAGGGTTGACAGCTTTCATCACTGCTCTTTTTCTGTCCAAGTATTTCTGAAATTCAAACTTGCTACACTATGTACAATACAATTAGAGATATTATTCTGTCGTGGTAGTTATTAAATTGTGTTTTACATTATTAGGATCATTCATGAAGGAGGAGAAACTTGGAAATAGTGTGTGTGTGTGTGTGTGTGTGTGTGTGTGTGTGTGTGTATGTGAACAAAGAAACATGACAACAAATGAGAAAGGAAAGAAGTCAAAAGAAAAGGTGCTATAGACCATTAGAGACTATGAATCCATGAAATACATTGTAATATTGTCTAATCCCCTTGTTTTGAGGACTGAAATAGAGATATGTTTGTAATTATGATTAGAAAATGAACACAACTGTTACCATTGCACTGTGGCTGTACATTTTCTTTGGGTGTTCAGCTGTTGGGGATCCAAGCAATAAATTCCCTTTTGAGGACCCTGAGAAATTAGGATATATTAAGAAAAAAATTAGTCCTACTCAGTATTCACCCCTTCTTTTCTATTTTACTCTGACTCTCTGTCTAGCTTTTCCTGAGATGTCTGTGAAAAGTATACTGTCATCAAAGGTAGAATATTGTAAGCTTAAGTAAAAATACTTGAGTAAAACCTGGTAATGGTTTTAATTGTGTTACTAATTAATAAGCAAGCTTGAGATGGAATTGTAACTACTAAACTATGTCAGTTTCGATGAAATAATTGCTATAGGTAATTGTGTGCTCAATAATAATGGAGGTTTTTGGTGCAGTTCAAATCTAGTTTATTTTAGATTAAGTGAGATATATGATGACTAAAATGATCTTTTGAGGTGTAGTGTTTGTGCCTAATAGTGCAACATAACAGCACTGACAGGGATCCTTAAGGACCAATGCTTTGTGTGCAATACCCAAGTTCATATTTACAAATGTTGTCCATAGTATTAGCAACACAATAATGCCATAATAATTTTTTAAGCTTAATGAGGAGACCTTTCCTTTCTTCATTTGCTGATATCAATGCCTAGGTGTGATGTCCATTAAATAACTATTCTTAAAGGTATGGGTGACAGAGATACTCCTGTCTGTTTTTCTGTCTAGAGATTCACTGATGTTGAGATAAACCCAGTGGCAGGCCCTGCACTCCTGAGATTTTTTCTCAGTAAAAAGCCTGATAGAAGATTAAATGGGCCAAAACAACAATGTCACAGAATTTGTCCTGCTGGGATTCACTGAGGATCCTGCTGGGAAAAAGGCATTGTTTGTTATGTTTTTACTCATCTACATTGTGACAATGGTGGGAAACCTCCTCATTGTGGTTACAGTGATTATCAGCCCCGCCTTGGGCACCCCAATGTACTTCTTCCTTGCCTCTCTGTCTCTTATGGATGCTGTTTATTCCACTGCCATCTCACCCAAGTTGATTGCAGATTTGCTCCGTGACAAGAAGACCATCTCTTTCACAGCTTGCATAAGCCAGCTCTTTATAGAGCACTTATTTGGTGGTGTTGATATTGTCATTCTGGTGGCAATGGCCTATGATCGGTATGTGGCCATCTGTAAACCCCTGCATTATCTGATTATCATGAATCGACGTGTATGTATCCTTTTCTTAGTGATGGCATGGGCAGGAGGATTTGCACATGCTATGTTTCAAGTTCTTGTTGTATGTAAACTCCCTTTCTGTGGTCCCAATATCATTGACCATTTTTGCTGTGACACATACCCACTATTGCTACTTGCATGCACTGACACCTACTCCATTGGCCTCTCTGCCACTGTAAATAATGGGGCCATGTGTATAGTGATCTTCATCCTCCTGCTACTCTCCTATGGAATCATCTTAAGATCTCTCAAGAATCACAGTCAGGAAGGGAGACGCAAAGCTCTGTTTACCTGCAGTTCCCATATCAAGCATTTACACCAATAGTTGATATTGTGATACTACTTGTATTGTGAATGTTATTTGTAAATATTTATTTTGTTGTGCTTTTTTCATAATTAGTGTAGCTACTTACAGTAGCATTCATTTTTTTCTATCTGTTTTTAACCTTTTTGATCAATTGTCTATTTTAGTTTGTTAAATTTTCAATAAATAATTTTCCTTAAAGTTTTTTGAATAATGTGCTTTGACAATGTTTTTCTTTCCCCCAGTCTCTTTCCAGATCCTTTTCCCTTTCCCTCTTAAAAAGTTCATATTTTGTCTCTATTTCCTTCCCTCTCTCTCTGTATTTTCCCTCTCAACCTTTCAAAAGCAAACATTAGAAATGCATCAAAATAAACAAACAAAAACCCAACAAGATAAAAATGCCCAACCAACCCAAATAACCCCCTCCACACAAACAATACAACCCAATCCAAACCAATCCAGGCATTTATTTTCTGTTTGTTAAATACTATTGTACATGAGGCCTCCGTGGAATGTGGTTGATATGATGCATACTGACATGTAGGGAGACACCCTAGCCCCGCCCAATAGTCCTGGGACAGGTAGCAGGTGGACCCGGGACTCCCCCATAAGGGCGTGGTGAAAGAAAGCCGGGGTGACGTAGGGGAGCTTCTTAAGGGGCTGCACGTGGTGACCCTAGCCCTTTTGTTCTGGCCGCGCTGGCTGGGTTCTATAACCTAGCTCTGGCCTGTGTTTTACCTTGGTGTCTTCTGGAATAAAGAGACCTTAATCCTACACTGACAGGCCATTGAAAATATTTTCCTTTCCTCTCCCAGCATTTATCAATTATGGATACATTCTAGGTTTGGTATGGGACTTTGTATACGCTTTCTCTTTTCAGTACTGGGATTTTGTGATATTGTGTGGCTTGAATCTTTATAGGTTTGTGAATGCTGTCATGCTCTCTGTGAATGTACAGCTATATCAGTGTTTTGATAACGTTCCTTGAATTCTTCTACCACCTCTGGCTTTCTACCTCCTGTTCTGTATAGGTCCCTAAGTGTGAATGGAAGCATTAGATGGAATTATTCCATTTATGACAAATGTGATTACTTAGTCCAAATGCCTTTTCTCAGTTTGGTGGAATTCTTTAGGTTTTCATTTCAAGTACTCCTATATTGTAATTTATATTAAAAATCTCTTCTATTTAAAGGTTTTCTATACTACTTTCTTTTATTAATAAAATGTCTAAATAATTAAACTTTACTTTGAAAAAATTCTTTTCAAATTTTTTTGTAGATTGAGATACTTACAATCTGTGATTTGCTCATGTTGTTTTGAATTGTGCAAGTATTTTATATTTTTAAATTGACTTAATTTTCACTTTATTATAACTCATAGTATTTATTTCTGTGTGGAGTGAATCACACAATCTACTTGCCTAGCATTATTAAATATGGTAATATACTTATTATTTTAATAATTGTCCCTTTTGGTTACCTTAATATATTTCCCAGATTGATGACATTATCATGTTCCTTATGTTTTATTCATGTTCTTTCGGATCCCTTTCCAAACAATTCAATATGGTGAATTGATCTTCCTAATTTACTACTTTATTAGTAAATGCCAGTGAAGTAAGTTTTTAAAAGTAATAAAATATATCTTATTAAATTATTCTATTTAAACAACATTTCTACAATAGTGGTATCTTTGGCTGGTGGTGTTTTAACTGTGTAGATAGTTCAGAGAAGACCTGATATCTTGAACTCAGTAAATCTTTCTATTGCGGAACAGGAAAAGCTATCTTTCTGCAGGCCCTAGAAGCCATCATTTTTTCAGGTTTCAGTTTGCTTTCATCATTCATTAGTTTCACATATTTCCTTTCGATTTTGTAATTTGTGTTTTTTATTTAAACTTTAAAAATGCTTTCTATCCTACATAACCTAGTAATGGTGACAAACCTAGAAGGAAGATAAAACATGAATTAAGATGCTCTATCATGACTCTTTAAACAATGTGGTAAATTTTGTTAATTCCTTGGATTTGCTAGATAAAAATGATACCATAGCAAAATAAGTATTTTTGGTTCTAGCCATTCTACCCAATATTTATAACTTATCTCCTCTTCATGCTAACGTATTAGTTAAAATTGAAAAAATAAGAATCATCTTTGAGAGATAATCCCTGGTTTATTTCGTGGAGACAATCAAAATATATTTATAAAGACTAGCAATCTGTCTTTTACAATAAATGTTTTTGTTATATGTAAATATTTCTTGACTTTAGATATTCACTTGGGTACACCCTTACTTCTCAAACAGACTGAGATAAAGAGAAGTTTTGTGGAAATGTGCTGTTTCCAGTCATTGATAGTCATCATTCTCTGCTTATTGAACAGTTTTAAGATACCATGTGTTCTCAAAGGCACATGAGCACCTGCACAATTTAAAATCAATACAGTAAAAGACCCCTCCTTTTTCAGAACAAAAATAATATATATATATATGTGTGTGTGTGTGTGTGTGTGTGTGTGTGTGTGTGTGTGTGTTTGTAATGCCAGAAAGAAAGCCCATTAATTAAATATTCATTTGCTAATATTTTTAAGGTCATTCATTCTCAATGGTAAGAGCTTAGCCTTTGGTGAAAATGATGTTCATCAAGTTCTGTCATTTCATGTGTCCTTTACTGTGTATCTTAAAACCAATCAATATGGTAATATATATGTAAGCACAAGTCTATAGGGTAGTAACTCATCTGCAATCAATCTCTTTGATTTGTTACATTCATATTGTAAACTATTTTATTTAAAATTATAATTATGGAATTATATTGTCAGGGCATACATCAGATCATTTCCTTGTAAGTGTATAATGCAGTTTGAACCTATTTCCTCAATAATCTACTTGTATTCCTTACACCTTTCTGCATCTTAATTGTATACTTTAGCATTTCATTTTTACATTCATATCATTTATACAGATACTAGTTGACATTTCTATGAAAATTTGGGATCAAAAAATTAAGAAAACATGGAATATTTCTGTTTCATATATGGACTAAATTTGCTTAGCATGATCATTTCCATTTGCATTAGTATTCATGTAAAGTATGTAGTTTCATTCTTCCTTATGGGTGAAACAGTTCTAGAATTTAAATTTATCTTTTAAAATAGCAATGAATTCCTGGCTTAATTATTATCTTTTTCTGAAAGTAATTCACAACAATTTGAATTAAAAGCACATATTTCCTCAAATTATTTATGGAATCAGGTATTTAATAAGCTGTAGTCTAGATTACATGAGTTTTAACATGATACATCTGAATTAATCAGTTCTCACTTTGTGGGTAATGACTATATTGATTTCTGGAAAATTTGTTCTGGTGGAGCCCAATGTTTATTAAAGAACAAAAGGTCCTAACCCACATAGTAAATAAGGTATGAAAGTGACATTTCTGGATGTTTTTCTGTGCTTATGCTCTACTGCATGTTTTCCTTCATCAGTCTGATGGTTTAAATATGGCAAATGCAGATCTTCTATATCAGATAACTGCATAAATATGCTTGAATTACATAGAAGGTTCATCACAATTGCCATGTGAAGCAAGTGAAGTCTTTGGACATTCCCTCATCTACTATTACAACATGTAAATCACTTTTCCCCTTACTTGTTCACATTGAAACATAATCATTCATGGATAATGGTTGTGAGCACTTATATGGAATAAGAATAAAAATTTTCTAAAATACTTCTTTGCCATATGTCCTAAAAGTGACACAAAGAACAGCAGTACTAACAGCTAACATTCATATATAGGCCACAAGTATTGAGAAAAGCTTTAAGAAAACTTAAAAAAAAAAGCATCCTGGGATGCAGATGTTGTAGTTCCCTGAGTTGAGATTACATAGGTAATAATTGCATGATTCTTAGTGTAATACAAGCATATGACCCAGAGTACACAGAATTCAGCACTGGGCCACTCTCTCTCTGTCTCACAGTGTATTTGAGGTTATTTTATAGTACATTATGAATAGAAATCAGAGTTGTTATATATTGGTATGATCATATCCAATTTGTTCCTGATTATCATTGATAGGGAAGTGAATGTAAGCTTAGAAATTAACTATGCATGAAAAGTATAATAGAATCATGAAATAGATAGTTTTGAACTAATAGTGCTGTAGACTGTAAGGCTGGAAAAACTCATAAATCTTGTTGTCTAATCTCTTTAAATTACAATATGTAAATTGAGTAAAGTTCATAACAGGTTTAGTAAATATCCCACAGTCATGCATTCCCACACTAGTTATAACATTTTCTTTGAATGTGCTGTGTTTAGAGATCTGGCCACTAAATTTCTACTTTAGTACCTCAGGATCTAGCAAATTTCACTGTCTTTCAGTTTCTATTTCTTCTGTTTTTTTTAATTTGAATTAGAAACAAGATTGTTTTACATGCCAATCCCAGTTCCCACTCCCTCGCCTCCTCCCCTTCTACTCCCCCCAACTAATACCCTACCTATCACACATCCTTTCTGCTCCCCTGGGAGGGTGAGGCCATCTATAGGGTGTCATCAGAGTCTATCATATCCTTTGAGATAGGGCCTAGGCCAACTCCCATATGTCTTGGCTCAGGGAGTATCCCTGTAGGTGGAATGGGCTCCCAAAGTTCACACCTAGGCTAGGGATAAGTACTGAAAACTACAGGAGGACTCATAGACTTCCGAGGTTTCCTCTCTGAAACCCTGGTTCCTGGGGTCTGGATCAGTTCCATGCTGGAATCCTAGCTATCAGTCTGGGAAACAAGAGTTTTCTCTTGTTCAGGTCAGCTGTTTCTGTGGGTTTCACCAGCCTGGTCTGTATCCCTTTGCTCATCCCTCATCCTTCTCTACAATTGGATTCCAGTTCAGTTCTGTGATTAGTTGTGGGTGTCTGCTTCTACTTCCACCAGCGGCTGGATGAGGGCTATAGGATGGCATATGAGTCAGTCATCAATCTCTTTATCAGGGGAGGGCATTTAAGGTAGCCTCTCCTCTGTTAC